TGTCTTGGTTTCTGTATATGTAAGATAGGTATCACAGTGTGTACCTCACAAGACTATTGGAAGGATTAATGAGCTCTGAGGTACAGAAGCATTGTTGTTTTTGTTGCTGTTGTTTTGCTTTGTTTTAGTTTTGGTATTTTGAGATAGTCTCACTGGTCCTAGCTGACTTGGAGCTCGCAGTCTTCCTGCCTCAGCCTCCCAAGTGCTGGGATTGCAGGCAGGTACCACTATGTCCAACTTCAGAATTGTTTTTGTTGTGATTTGTTTGTTTGGTGGAACTGCAGATTGAACCCAAGGCCTCAAGTGTGCTAGGTAAATGCTCTCCACTGAGCAGCATCTGCAGCCAAGGGGCCTTTGATCCTTGTGTGCTGCTGGGGTGTCTGGCAGGGCAGAGAAGCACAGGACTAAATCCTTGATTGGTAGAAACTATTAGACCAGCACGTAGTTCTTTCAGAGCACTGGGAAGGACTTAATAAACCTACATTTTCCCAACCTTCCTGTAAGAGCATGGCCTTAGAGTTGGATATTGAAAGTGGGAATTGTTGAAGAAAATCCAGGACATACGGACACCGTACTCCAGCCTTCATGGCACAGGGAATCCAAATGTAGACTCTGAGCCCTGTCCTTGCTCCTGTTCTGAGTGGTAGCCCTGTGGCTCCAAGACTAAGTTCTCTCCTAACTGGGAACACAGTGTTTTCTGTTGGCTTGAGGCACTATAGGTGGGTGGGACAGTATTGCTGAGGTGGAAAGGGCCTCCAGGGAATCTGGGTTGATGCTGTACGACTGATCTGACAAGTGATTGAGTATCCCAGGTGCCAGGCTAATCGGGTGACTCATCCAGAAATTTTCTGCAAGGGTCAGTTCAGGAGAGTCATTCATTCATTCATTCATTCATTCATCTGTTGAGTACCTGCTATGTGCCCCTCTGCTGCTGGGCTCAACTCTAACCCTGCATCTGGATTCTACAACACTAGCTACAGTGCCTCTCCAGAAACATCTAGCTCCTTTGTTATCTCACCCCACAGAGACTTTATTTGTATTTCTATCAGCTTTCCAGCTTTGGCCTCTCAAGTTTGTTTGAACTCCTTCAACCTCTTTGCCTCTTTAATCCTTTGTAACAATTCTGTAACCTACATATATGCATTTTTAGGTATAGCTATTTTTACTATGTGATGTGTTATACTTGACTTGAGAGTTAATATTTGTAACATTGGTATAAAAGAATCTGTGTGCTTGGATCAGGGCAATCAAGGACTGTTGAGTACCTGCTATGTGCCATGCCTGGCATGACGTTACAGAAATGCATCAGTCATAGTCCCTGCCCATAAGGAGCCCATAGTCTGGCTCCTTGGGTGGGGAAATTGTCTTCAATATAGATGCTGTCTAACTACTCTCACATGTTCCTTCCTTCTTAACTCAAAAACCTAGGTCAGGACTTGTTTCTACTTCTGCTGTTAGCCCAGCTTTGCCAGATGGTCCTTCAAGCTCAGAGCCTCACAATGGTCTCCTTTCTTCCCTTACTGTCACCTCCAAGACTGCCTGAGGGAAGTGCCACCTGAGTGCTCTTTCCAGCTGTCCTTGGGTGGACTGCTTGTTTTATTTCCCTTTTCTGTTCTCTTCATCCCTGTTTTCTCTTTATCTTTCTTCTTTCTACCCTCTTACCCATTTCTTCCTCTCCCAGCCCAGGGCCCCATCCACACCCCGGGCTGCTCTCCATAGCGGCCCCTCCTCTGGAAGCACTAGAGCAGATTCCATTCCTGTGCCAAGCATCCTCACCCCAGCCAGCACCTCGCAGTTTCTGGTGTCAGAGGCATCTCCCTTTTCCCTCTCCTCTTTCTGTTCTTTCTCTGCTCCTGGGCTTCCTCCTTCTGGAAGGAAGTGTCTCCTTGCATCTTCCTAACCCGTGGTCCCTCCCACTTCCTTTCCTCACTCCTTGCCTCCCTGAAGGGGCATGCCATCCCTTCTGTGGAACAAGTCAGTGACAGCCCAGGAGACCTGTGGCTAAGTTGGGGGTGTCTCCCTGTCCCCCCACCAGTAGTGTACCTATCTTCTTGCCCTGCAGCTCACCTCCCTGTCTTCCCATAGCTTCCTGGATGTTCCTCTGCCATTCATTATAACCCTGCCTTTCCGGATGAAGATGATTCCTTGTGGCCTTTCTTCCCACATGAGCCTCCTCTAGCCTGGGGTGGGAGTTCTGTGCTTGCTTTCATTGCCCTGTTGTCCTGCTCCACGAGCACCGTCTTACTGCCATTCTCCCACCTTCCTTCTCCCCTTCTTCCGGTCTCCACCTCCTGCTGTCTCTTCTTTCAGTAGCAGGCTTCCTTGTGCCTTCCCCTCCACCCTCCCCTGCTCTCCTTTGCTGCCTCTGTAACCTGTCTCACCACCAGGGCCTGAGTGTACAAAAAATAAATAAATAAATAAATAAAAAGGTCAGTGAGTGGAGGGAGCAGCAATAACCCCTAAAACAGTACTATCAGTGGAACATGATTGATCAATTGAATTCCATAGCGGCTGAAAAATGTGGGATTAAGTAGTGTATTATACGCACAATGAGTTGAGGCATGATGTTCATTTCAAGTTCATTTCGCCGGCCTCTGCCACCAGATCAGGCAATCAATAGGGGCAGCAGATATCATATATCACCTCTCTGCGGGCTGGGGCGAGAGCACCATAATCTCTCGCAAATTTAGAGTGACAGATTTGTCAAGATCTGAAAGGCCCCTGAATAAATGAAGGCAAAGAGACTCCTCCAGCCAGTGACCTGAGGACAAAGCTTCAGTTCAGCTCCCCCCCCACACACACTCAAGTACAGGGTGAGGCAAGCCACACACACAGGCATGTACACAAATCCACACAGAGACATGATATGCATCTTTCCAATGTGCGTCCTCACACTTGTGTGTGAATGGACTCCCTAGGACCCATTTGGTAACACAGCAGGAACCATACACAAAGATTCTTGATGCTGTTCTCCCTTGGCCCTGACAGCCCAGCTTCCCCAAAAGGCAGGAGGGATGCAGGATGATACCATTAGGCACAGTGGAACATGCAGATACTGACAGGCAGCGGGGTCAGGGAGACTCACATCCTGGAAAGAGGAGTGCTCATGGGAGATACAGGTGTGGGCCACAGTCCTCAAGCACACATAACCTTTCAGAAGGCTCTTACTCTCATTTAAACACACTCAGAGGCTGGGCCTGGTGGTATATGCCTTCAGTTCCAGCACTCTAGAGGCAGAGGCAGACAGGAAGACCTCTATGAGTCCTGACCAGCCTGGTCTACATAGCAAGCTCCAGGCTAGCTATAGATACAGGGAAACCTATCTCAAACAATCAAACAAGACAAAAACAAACAAAAATTTCACACTCAGACCCTTATTTCTCTAGATGTTTATTATGTACAAGTGTATATGCATAGAAAATATTTACACAAAGGGGGAAAATAAATATACCATGCTCCAGTTCCCATGCCTAGGGTCACTATATCCCTAAGACTGAAAATGGTTCCAGAACCTTGTGCAGAAAAAATACAACTACCAGGTTTTGTGTCTTCAGGAACACAGGGCTGCCATTAAGAATGTCTTAGGCTGGTTTTGATCTCTCTCTCTCTCTCTCTCTCTCTCTCTCTCTCTCTTTCTTTGCTTTCCCACCCCTTCCTGAACAGTACAGTGGCAAGATGGGGGATCCTTTAGGAAAGCAGAGTCCTGTGCTTCATCTGAGAAGGGCCCCTTCCTGAACAGTACAGTGGGAAGATGGGGGATCCTTTAGGAAAGCAGAGTCCTGTGCTTCATCTGAGAAGGGAGGATGGCTGTAGGTTGAGGTTAATCAATATGTAATACTTTCTATGGTCTCCCAAATGATACTGTACGGTGTTACTGTATATAATGCAATATTGATTATATCATATCATATAATCACCTATAAACTGATATATATAACAGTCCCAGAGGAATACCCTAAGGCCTAAAGCATAGGCTGGTCTGAGCCCCAAGGCTCCCTAGCTGGTCTTGGGCTGAGGAAAACCAAGGAATGACAACCTGGTGCTAGGCAGGGGTTCAAGGAGAGGCAACAAAATGGGCACTTTGCCCATGGCATGCTCTAAAAGCTCCAAGTGACAGAACGCTAGAAAGCAGAGACAAGGGGAGGCAGGGATCACAGGGTGGTGAGCATATCCACATGGTAAGCATGTCCACCTGGAGCCTGACACGGAAACAGGACTGCCTTGTGGCCTGAAGCAGACACTAGTGGTCACCACCAGGCCCTTCTTTCATAGAGAAAGTCTTGGCTCCTTGTGGAAATCTGAAGGAAGAACCAGGCTTCCCGGGAGCTGGCTCCTGACTGAGGCCAGAGCCAGAGACTTCCAGGAGAGAAGGGTAGCTAGGGTGTAGCAATCCACATGCTCTCTGGAGTCTGCCCACGGGGGTGCTTGGCAGCACACATGATCCTTCCTCCTGCTCTGTCTCCAGCCCAGCCCAATCTGAGCACCTCAGCTCTGGTCTCAGAGCCCCTCCTCCCTCAGGAGTAGTTACTTTACCCAGTCTCTAAGCATCACATTCACCTCAGAGATTTGATGATTTTCAACCCTTGGAATCCGTGGAACTGAAATTTATCTCAGAGCCAGGTTCAATTCTTCACAGGATTAGTAATGCCAGCCTGAGAACCTGGCCCCTCACCCAGGCTGACCCAAGCTAGGGAACCGGGAGCCTTGGGAAGAACTTGGAGACAGCTCCAGAGCACCCTCAGACTCCACCTCTGCCCAGCTCTTCCTGCCTACCATGCTGTGACCGCCCTTCCCAGCTCTTTCAGGGCACTTGCTTCCTCAATCAGGTCTCTGAGGAAGGACCAGCTTCTTGGGTCAACCCCTCTAGTTTATGAGCTGAGAGTAAGGGGTGCATAAACCTGGGGGCCAGAGCCAGGTACCCGCCCCTTTGTCCACTGCATTCTTTCCGTACCTCTGTGCTGGCCTGGTGCTCGTGACCCAAATGTTCCTGTATTCCTCAGATGTGTCCGAGGGTTCAGTCCCCAATGGAGACTCCCAGAGTGGCGTGGACAGTTTGCGGAAGCACTTGCGAGCTGACACCTTTACCCAGCAGCAACTGGAAGCTTTGGATCGAGTCTTTGAGCGTCCTTCCTATCCTGATGTCTTCCAGGCATCAGAGCACATCAAGTCAGAACAGGTGAGAAAGGAGCTTCCTGCTTACGCAGATATGGAAAGGAACTGGCCAGAACAAGGCCTCTTGGACACCAAACACCAGCACTGCATGTGTTCATATGGCTACCGTGTGTGTCCTGTGTGAACATGCTAGCACAGACAGACATTAAGGTATAGTTAAGAAAAATCATTGTGATATATCATAATTGGAAATGATAAGGTCTGGATGCAAGCATCAGTCTTATCTGCATTTAGAGCTTCTGTTTCTCTGTGAAAGGCTTTAGTGTGTCGTCCATCAGTTCCTCCAAGCTCTGCCATTTTGTTGTCCTGGTATGGGGTTCTCAGGAACATCCTCTTGCTATATCCCTTGCCCCACTCCCACCACTTCCCACAGAAAGTCTAGGATCCTCCTATCCAGTGTCAGAAGGAAAGCCCACCTGTGCCTGCCTCCTCCCTGTTGCAGCTGTCCGCTGTGATCCCCGTCCAGCTGACAGCTGTCCCAGCCACCTACAATTCTTACAGATGCAGAAGAGCCCAGAGCACACAACATAGGATACAGCATACAAAACATCAAAATATACTACTCTGAAACATAGTCCCAAGACATCATAGTTCAGGACCAGTGAGATGGTTCAGTGGGTAAAGGCACTTGCCACCCAACAAGGCAAACCTGACAACCTGAGTTTGATCCTCAGAATCTAAGTAAAATGGGAAGGAGAAAGCTAACTTCACAAAGTTGTTCTCTGATTTCCACATGGCACACTCCACTCCATACACAACAATAAAACATAATTTTAATTTTTAAAAAGACCTCACATTTTTCACAGCATCCACCTGCTCTCCCTGCCCCACACAGCTCACAGTACTCACCGAATAACCCAGCAGTCCTGCAGAGTCAGTAGGTGCACACTGTCTGCAGATCACCAGCTCAGGGTCCCTCTAGCACATGCTTCCAACCCACAAATCAGCATAGCCCCCAGTGCATGCACTCACATCCAGGGTAGTTTCATCCAACCCATAGATATGGCCTAGGCCAGGCCTCCAACTGCAGCACAACACACCTGCTGTGCTTGTACCCGAGCTCGCATGCACACCCACATACACACGTGTACACTGGCGAAGCCCCTGAGGCTCCACACAGCACAGTTCCACTCTAAGACTTCAACAGCACCTAGCCACTTGCCTTTCTCCTCGCCTGTTCTTTTATCCCATAAGCTGTTTGTCTTCATAAAACAAAAATCAAAAGTCTTTTTAAGGTGCCCTGAGCCATAAACCAACAAAGGAGGAGCTGGCCAAGGCGGGCGGCTCAGTGCACCCTCCCCAAGTCCCTGGCTGTATTACAATGAATAACCTTTATTTACTTTCATTAGACTATTAAACACCAGCACAGTCATTTTTCCCCCTGAAACTCAGAGCAGGGCCCATAAAGCAAATCCGAAGCCTAATTGAGTTCATTTTAATTTCTCTCCGATCACAGCGAATTACTCTGGTGATAAATCAGGGGGCAGCTTCACCCCCAGTAGAAGGCCTAATTTGCAGCTAATTACAAAACTGATTTCTACAGGAAGATCAATACGAGAAGGAATTGGAAATGACGAGGCAATCCCGTCCAGCCAGGGAGGGAAGGGGGTCCTCTGGGGGGGCCAGGAAGCGGAAGGGAAAAAAACGGACCCGAAAGAGCAGAAAATCAGTTTTAATTTAACCTAATATTAATCAGAGCAACTTTTCCTGCTTTGTGCAGGCTCCTGGTCTGCCCAGCTCCAGGGTCTGGCTTGGCCGTGGCTGCAATAAAAAGGCAATTACCCGAGTGTTTCGGGCAGGACACCCTTTCAGAGTCAATGACTGGCCCCCTCCCACCCTTCTGTTAGCCATGTGGACTCTCCCCCTCCCCAATTTCATACCCCAGTGCACAGGCAGAGAGCGAGGGGCCCATGGGGCTGTCTTTGTTTGTTTTTAAAAAAGGGGCGCCCATACCCCATCAGCCAGCCCAGCAGTGCCAGGCTGGAGGCCCCATTAGGCCCTTCCCCCAACTACCACCTCTGCCATGTGTCATGGCCCATCTCTGCTCTCCAAGGTTTCCCACCCAGAGGAACCTGAGCACCCCACACCTCTCAGCAAGGGAATCCCCACTGCCATGCTACCTCCTGGGGCTTCTTAGGCAGGAGATGATGCAGAAGCTTTAAGGGTGCTGGGAATTCCTCAGTGTGTATACTGTACCTCCACTCACCGTGTCAAGTCCACTCCTACCCTCCCCAAACTCTCCCTCACCACCCAGCCTGACCCTCCCCATCTCCCCGCCCCACCCAGCCATCTCCTTCCACCCCATCTGGGAGGGCTCCCCGATCCTCCTCCCCATCTGCACATCACTTCTTTCTCTGTGTATGCATTAATAGAGAGCTGTCGCTTTCTCTCTCCTCCCAGGGGAACGAGTACTCTCTCCCAGCCCTGACCCCTGGGCTTGATGAAGTCAAGTCGAGTCTATCTGCATCCACCAACCCTGAGCTGGGCAGCAATGTGTCAGGCACACAGACATACCCCGTCGTGACTGGTAAGGCGGCTTCCAGGAGGGTGGGGCACTGCTTTCAGTGGGGTGCCTCAGCCTATGCCATCTGGGGCCCAGTGTGACAAGTGGGCCCCCTGCCATGGTATCTGCAGAGAGAGAAGGATTGAGATCCCCCAAACTTAGGGTACTTTCCGAACAGATGTGTGCAGACTTATAGAGAAAACATTGTGGACAGGATCTTGGGCTTCAGTCTGAAAATGTGGGAACTGTGGCTGGTTCCCTCCACTGTCTTCCTGCCTTCCCTCTGCCTTATTTCCTTCCTCTCCTAGGGTGCCCAGACTTTCCAGCCTTTGGTTTAGGGTATGTGTAGAATAACAAGGGCAAAGAGACTAACTGGAGAGAGTGGCTCAGAGGTGCCCAGTCTCCAGCCTTCATGCTCCTCTGTGCCCAATGGTTTGGAGGGACTTGCTTTCCTCTCTCTCCAGGCAACTTGGGTGGCTGTGACTTAGGGCTTGAGGGGATGGCAGCAGGTCTGTGGAGTTAGAGAGGAGCATACTTATTACAGCCTTTGTCCTGCAACCTGGAGAAAGTCACTGAAAGCAAGTTGGATTTCAAGGCCAGGGGAGATCAAATGCAGGACCAGTGGGTGACGTTCCAGAGTACAGAGCTGCAAACTTTGGAAGGGTTTCCGGGCCAGGGGAGTGCCCAAGTGGGAGAGGTGTTATTAAAATTCACCTAATTATTCTGGAGACACTAAAGCCAATGTGCCGTTTGTACCTTGGGAGACAGGGTGATTGAGAAGGGTCTTGTTGGGGATTGGGAGACACTGAGGCGTTACCTGCCAAGTGAATGGAGGCAGCTTGGGGACATGGCAGCAAGGCTGTAGGCAGCCACCATCACAGCCACTGCAAAGACAGGAGCAGGCATGGGGTCTTGCTGTAGGACAGGGCCCTGGTGGTGACTTGGTGTTGATTGGAACACGGCTCAGGTCGAGGTGGGCTCAAAGTAGCCACCCAGCATCCAGGGGGCTCCAGGGAGCCCTGCCATTAGCCTTTCCCATGCTTTCCTGAAGTGGTTTCTAGGGCTGTGTCCAGAGTAAATGAAGTTTCAGTCTGTGTCCAGGAATCCAAAGGCTGAATCTACAAAGCACTGTCAAGCTGACTAGTCTTTGGGGAGTGATGGTCTTAGCTGGGCCAGATGAATCAAGACACATCTTAGATAAACAGGCCCTTGGTATGAGCTCTCAAAAACCCAACTTGGTTTCCCTCTGATCTGATTGGTCTTCTGACCCTGGCCAGGCCACCTTTCTGGTGCAGTGGTTACTTCTTGAAGGTAGCCCTCCCCAGGCAACTGGCAAAAGAGTGTAGGAGACTTTTCTTTGTAGTCAGGGCCACGGTCCAGAAAGCAGGTACTTCTTGGGGATGGATATGTGGCTCTTCTGGGTAAGACTCCTGCCACAGGGGACATAGGGGCTGTTGTAGAAAAGTGCCTCCACCTTGAGCATCCCCCACCAATGCCCCCCTCCCCCCATGGCCCTGGAATGGTCCCATCTCAGCCTGGGAACATCTCCGGCTGATCCATCTGGATCCAAGTGTGAGAAAAGTTCATTTCAGACCCAGCTTGACATTCCCAGGTGGCAAGTTAGCACTAACATCTCAATCTGTATGCGACATTTCAATCAAGCGAGGAGTAACAAAAGCAGAACCATTAACATTCGGAGCTGTTCACCAGTGGTAATGATGGGGAAACTCTCTCAGAAACTGGAAATTACCAAAAAGAGAGAAGTAGGGAGAGGGGTGGGGGAGGGGAGACGGGGTTGGGGGCAGGGAATGACTTTTCCACACTTAGACCAAGATCCAATGTGGGAATTAATAGTGCCATTACTCGAGAAAGGGCTGCAGATCATACTCATTCTTAAAATGTTTTTGCTGGCAATTAAACGGCTGCAGCTATTGATCTTTGTTGATTTTATGTCCTCCTAATTTGCATAATCTATTAAAGATGAATGATTCATGATGTGTTTATTATGGGGACAAACAGAATTTGCTGGAGGTACTGTCAAGGTGAGAAACAGGCATTGCCCAGAGACTTCATGGGCCATCTTGGGAGCAGGTCCAGTGTGTTGGCCTTTGGGCCAGGACTTGATAGGTAGCAATGACCAGTATGACAAGGACAGCCAGGAGAGGGGGATTTGGGGCAAGTTCTTCTAGAGAAATGCTAGCATCTATGAAAACTGGGCTCCAAGGAGGCTGGGGTGATGGGAAAAGCCCTTTATATATTTGCAGAAATTCCTTTCAAAGATTACCCCCCATCTGCAGAGCCCAGGCTGGCCTCTAACTCACAGCAGTCTGACTGCCTCATCTTCCTCAGTGCTGCAATTATAAGGGTGAATCATTGCATTCAATTCTCAAATGTTCTTTAAAAACATACTTCACGGGTTGGAGAAATAGCTCAGTGGTTAAGATAGCACTGTCTGCCTTTGCAGAGGACCTGGGTTCAATTCCCAGCACTCACATAGTGGCTAATAACCACTGGTAACTCCAATTCCAGGGAATCTGACTCCCTTTTCTGACCTCCATGGGCATTACACAACACACATGCAGAAAATCCACTCATACACATAAAATTTAAAAAAAACAAAATATTTGAGAAAAATAAATTAAAACTTCATTTGAGAATAGTAAGGGCCTGGTAGGTGGGCGATTGTGGCCAGGTGGGTGCTAAATGAGGGCGCAGCAAGGTCATGCTGTGCTCACAGCCAAGATGTCCAAGAAGTCCTCTCCATTCCTCACATCACAGGTATCCAGCGCATCCTCCTCCTTGAAAATAGCCAAGCCTTCAGAAATGGGTCTTAAGGAAGCTGGCCCAGGAAGGCCTTGGCCCAACCTGAAAAGCCAGACCTTATTGATATTCCTGCCACCTCCTGGCACTGGAGGCTGATTTCAAACTTCACCAGCCACTTGATGCAGCTGTTCCACAAGGTCAGGACTGAGAGGAGACAGGAGCCTGGACTATTGTGTGGAGGAACGAGTGGGACCCAGTGGGCCAGGACACAGCTAATCACATTGCAAGCAAGGGTGGTTTGCCACAGGCTAGGACTCAGCCCATAGCATCCCCCACCCTCCTTCCACCATGGAACCAAGGCAAGAGACCAATTTCTCTGGGTGGTGTTTGCAAGTTTTGCCGAGATTTTAATTTCACTGCATCACAACTCAGCAAGCTGCCAAGTCAAGCTGGTTATTTAAATTTATCACCCACTCTCCCCTCTGCCGCTGGGTTGCTTTAGCTCAGCAGCATCTCTTTTCTCCAGCCCACTGCTCTAGGCTGCTGGTTTGGAACAGAGCCGAGTCATTCTTAAGTGATAAGGAAAATGGGACCCACTTGATGGGAGAATGGGCAGCGTCTCTGGCCTCAGACTTCCTTAGGGTGGCTGCTTGGAGTTACCCTCTACTACCTTCTTAATCCTATGGGGGACAGCCTTTAACACTTCAATATTCCACAGACCCTCTGAGTCTGGGACTCTTCAGAGAAGACTCAGCCTTCAGCTGCATGCTGGAACCTTCATTTCCTAGTTTCCCATCACTGGTAGCAGTGAGAGCCCCTCTTCCCGGTGGCTTCTTCTCTGGATCTGGCCAAGGCTGCAGCAATAAGGGAGCCCACAGAGACCCTGAAAGGGATGTCGATCTTGGAAGAGAAGATGAGAACAAGTTCTTAGATCCCTAAAGCCATTGAAAATGCTTTGGAGCGTTCAGAGGGTGCCTCGAAGTAGGGAAAGCTCATTCTTCAGGAGAGAGCAGGTTTCCGTCCCCCGTCCACATGGGCTGAGATGGTGCTGAAGGCAGTCAGTGCTAAAGCAGCTCCATGCTCTCTGGAGAAGCTGAGGAGCATATTTGTCTCCAGAACTGCTGCATGCAGCAGGCTTCACTGGCCTCTAGTGGGCATCACTGCCAAGCACTGGGAGAGCCTTGTGTTCTCCTCACCCTCATGTTAATCAAAGGTATTAAGAGGAATAATGCTGATATCTAGAAACAAAGCAGACAAAATTTAGCAAAATAGAGCTGGATAAAATATAACAACAGAGCTGGGCATGGTGGCACACACTTTTAATCCCAGCACTTAGGAGGCAGAGGCAGGTGGATCTCTGAGTTTGAGGCCAGCCTGGTCTACATAGCGAGTTCCAGGCCAGCTGGGGCTACAGGGAGACTCTGTCCTATATATATATAGTAGTTAATGCACAACCGAGCCTTGTTTTGGTGCCAGATACAGAAAACACTGTGGGTTTCATACAGAAGTAAACTCTAGTGAGGAAAAGTTGAGGTAGTAATGTACCAGACAGGAGGCATGATCTTGAGCCCAAGAAAAGCAGAGACAGGACAGGGACAACACTGTCCAGGAAATGGGGACACAGAGGCTCCTCCCAATGACCCACAGAAACAACAGAGAGGGGAACATGTTATCATGAAAAATGGGGATCGCTCCCGCCAAGCCCAAACCTGGAACCAGGTTTAAATTTATGCCATAAGTACTTGCAGGAACCCCAAACAAGGAACTTACATAAAATTTTGTGCAAGACAGTAGTTCACTCTCATGTGCCAGCAGGGACAATGTGAAGTCATCTCTATAGAGATACTCCATAATCCAAGATACAAGGGACTCCCATAGGAAAAAAAATTACCACTAGAGATGAACTTATCGTAGAAAATTACATGCCTCCTGTGAATGTGACCCATCATGAGGTAGAGTTAGCAGAAGCAATACATAGGACAATTAATACCTCCAGGAGCCAGCCATCATGGAACAATCAAAAGTGAAGATAAAGTAAGGAAAAGATGAAAAAGAAATATTTATCAGTTTTGTCTTTAGCACAGACCTGAACCCAGGAGCCCTTCCTCCAGTGCTCAGCAAATTGTCAGATAATGGAGACCACAAAAGGTGAAGGAAAAACACACATTATTGTTTTGGAGTGGTGGTGGGAAGATCCCTAGTTTATCCAGACCCCCAGAGTGCTTTCAGTAGAGAATCTTGCTTTTCTTTGGTATAGTCAA